TTTTCACCCGGGCTTCTTATGAGGACTCGGTCCAACGCCATAACCTTTTCGAGTCGACGTGTACTGTGGGTGGTAAGGTGTGTCGTTTCATTATCGACACCGGCTCATGCGAAAATGTGGTTGCTCAAGAGGCCGTTGATCGCCTTAAATTGTCTACTGAGCCACACCCTCACCCCTATACTTTTGCTTGGATTCAACGTGGCAACTCTGTTACTGTGGATCGACGGGTTTTGGTGCAATTTTCTATCGGGCCTAAGTTCCGGGACACGGCGTGGTGTGATGTTGTCCCTATGGATGTGTGTCATCTCTTGCTGGGTCGACCTTGGCAGTATGATCGTGCTGTGGTCTTTGACGGGCGCCTCAACACTTATAGTTTTTATTTGAGGGCGTTCGACTGGTACTCCATCCTTCCCCTCCGCGCTCTTTATCTACTGATAATTCCTCGTCGGTTCTTTTTCTCTCTCGTGCAGCTTTCGTGGGTGAGATGCAGTCGGCGCCATTTGTCTTGTTACTTTTGGGGGCCGACATTACTACGGATGGCTCCCCTCCGACCATTATCCGGCCTCTCCTTGATGAGTTTTCTGATGTTTTCCCGGAGGAGCTCCCTTCGGGCCTGCCACCACTTCGGGACATCCAGCATCAGATCGACTTGGTGCCTGGTGCTTCTCTGCCAAACCGTCCCCATTATCGGATGAGCCCAGCAAAACATGAGGAGTTATGTCGTCAGGTGGAGGAACTCTTGCAGCATGGTGTTGTTCGCCGTAGCTTGAGCCCGTGTGTTGTGCCCGCTTTACTCATCCCGAAGAAGGACAGTTCGTGGAGGATGTGTATTGATAGTCGGGCCATTAACAAGATCACGGTCCGTTACCGATTTTCTATTCCTCGGCTTGACGATTTATTGGGCCAGTTGCATGGGGCCGCGGTCTTCACTAAGCTGGACCTGCGGAGTGGCTATCATCAGATTCGGATCCGGCCAGACGACTAATGGAAGACTGCTTTTAAGATCCGTAAGGGTCTTTTTGAGTGGCTTGTGATGTCCTTCGGTCTCTCGAATGCACCCAGTACTTTCATGCGCGTGATAAACCAGGCCTTGCGAGACCTTATTGGGAGATGTGTCATCGTTTATTTCGACGATATTCTTATCTATAGTCGGACTGTGGAGTGTTGTGAGTATTTTTACCGGAGTGGAATCGAAAGATTCGTTCTCCGGGTCGTATCGCAAGGAAGGTTAGTCGGATTCAATCGTACGTTTATTCAATCACGATAAAGAGAAAAAATCCTAAACACTCTATTTCAATGGTTTTGGTTTTAATTATAACTAGTGACTTAAAACAAATGAAAAGCGATTT